GAGAATAAACTCCCATGCCCTGGAGTTATTATGAAACAATTTTATCCACAAAATGAAGAAAAGTCCGGTAATTCTTATAACCTATTTCTTGACTCCAGCGATTCAGAAGCAGAGAAGCTTATATAAATGAACTTAAAACCTTGAGTTCCTTGACTCAGGGAAGCTCTATCAAAAGTAATCTGTTGGTTTCCTTCTTTCCAAGTGTGCCACTAAATTGCTAACATGCCATCTTCCACCTTTCAACTCAGCACTTTGTAGTATATGTCATTTGGTAGTCTGTTAATGAAGCTGAAGTCAACTCAGCACATTGTATTTTTCCGTTCGAACTTTATCTAGAGTACCACTTTAGTTGCATAAATTTTGAAAATAAGTAGCACCAACTTACTATGGTGATAGCACTTACATTTGACAGCTGGCATAAGGTTTCCTTTCATTGTTAATTGTTATACTTTGGTCAGATGTATTTAACACATTTTATAAATGAATTTGGCAGCGACAGATTCAGCATGGTTATAAATAGTTATCCATATTCCATCTGCATCAAGAATGATAATTTTGTAAAATTAGATGCATTATAGGCTCACAACTGGAAAAATCTGACACACGATAATTTGTTTAGTCTCTGCTTCTGTAGGGCTCATGTTATTTGAGTTCATGTTCCGTTTTATATCTTTCTTATTTGAGGTACAATTCTGGCACTATAGTACATTATGTAAAAATTTCTTTATTTATTTTTCCTTTCACAGCGTGAGCGGTGGCAGAAGCCTATCCTTAGGCGCTTGCAGGTTAGTCTGAAACCCCTTGCTTACAGGAAACAATACAGCTGTATGTGTTTTCTGTGATGTTTAGTTTATGCATTGCTGCAGGTGCTTCTGACAACATTTCACTGACTACTTAGCTCTTCTTTAGAGCTGGAACAAAAACTTAGCCTAATTTAAGTGAATCATATATATGAATTACTCCTTTCAAAAATGTTATATATATATGAATTACAAGTTTACAACTCTCTTACTGAGTTTGGGTATCCTTTCTCTAGAAACTGGCACTTTCCATGTGTGATAGGCAGGAAAAGAGTCCAATTCATGTTGGAAAATGTGCAGTCAGGCTTACATTGCTAGTTCTGTAGTTTTGTTCTTATACTGATTGATTTGATTGTGACTTATCACAGCCACCACCTCCTGTTAATGATACAAATCCGTACAATGTGTTTAGGCCAAGAGAGAAAGCCCACAGGCTCCACACAAGAAGGGTTCGTACCTGAACTATTATTGCGTTCTTCTTCAGGATATCAGATTGTTCATTTATCTTCAACATCCACTTTTATATTATCGTAGTCTAAAAATAATCAAATCGTATTCCTTTTACATATAGATGCAAAGGAGGGAAAACAATGTGCAATCTTTTGAAAAGCTTCGTCAGGTAAGAAAACCTTATCCGTGGTTCAGTCAGTTTTGCAGCATTTGAATTAGTCTAAGATGACGAGGATGTTTTCTACAACCTAGAACCAAGAGGAACATTGTTTTTGTTGGAAGAGTTTTGTGGTGGTGGCAAGCATATCTATGCTATTGATTGCCTTCTTTTTTCCCTGGCAATTTTCTGAGAAGAAAAATCTGACTGGAGTTTTAATACCATTTCAGGTCAGACGCAACCTTGACCAAGCGAAGACCATCTTGGAAGCACTGATAAAGGTGTATTTCCTATGCTACTTGAGGTTTTTTCCTTGGATTGTTTGTGTTTCTTGATTTTGATAAAAACCTCTTTTTCTTGTGCTCCCTTCTTCTTCATCCCTGTATTTTGGATTGTTGTTGTTGTTGTTGTTATTTCTTAATTATCAGAATTCTGTTTATATTAGTTGTTATTTTATTCTCTTCATGGATCATTTTTTCCCTTTATCTCTAATCTTTTATGACTGTGTGCAGAGAGAAGAGAAAAAGAGAGATGTTATGGAGAATGAAGTAAGCCTTCAGAGGATACAGTTGAAGTACAAGGTACTTACGATGTTCTATATAATGCCTTTATTTGAAGTAGCTCCTATTATTGCAGTTGCTTTTATTGCAATTATATTTTTGTCTTTGGTGTCATAATTTATCTGGCCTCTGTTTGTGATCTTCAATTGTAATTTATTGTCCTTCTTTTGGTCCAATGAAGCTTTTTAGTGAGCAATTTGCACTGAGAAAGATTAACATCATAATTATTTATCTGGCCTATGTTAGCGATCATCATTTGTAATTCACCGTCCTTCATATGCTGAGCAAAGCCTAGTCTTTTTTCCAAAAAAAAAAAATAAAAAAATAAAAATAAAATCTGTTGTTTAGTGTGCTATGCTGTAAGAAGTTAAGATCTGAGGATGATATTAGTACCAAGAGTACCCTTGCTGCTCTTTCTGTTGTATGATTTTAAAGTAATATCATACTGTCATGAGGGAAGTGAACAAGTGATGTCAGGAAGCCGTTTTCAAAAATAAATAAAGTAATTAAATTGAAGCATTGATTGAACACAATCCAATTCTAATTGATTGAAATGTGCCTTTTGTGCCAACTGCCTCTGTACGACATAAATTCCATAATGTCTTGTTTCTGCAGCATGAAACTGAGCTGCTTGAAGATAGCTTTATCCTTCCGTCGTTTCAACCTTTCTCTAAATTTGGCTCAAGTGAAGATGAATTTATGGATTCAGAAGATGCTGCGAACAACCAGCTTCCTGTCCAACCTGGTAGAGTACAAACTCAGTTTGTTGATTCTAAGCCTGTGATGGTTCAGGCTGGAAGCTTGGGGCATGATTTGAGATGGCGAAATGTAGCAAGCAATTGGATACGTAGAGTGGTAAGTGCATGCCTGTGATTTCAATTTACTATCTTTTAGATTTTCAAATTTGGCTAAGTAATTGTTACACCCATTTAAGCATACCTACCCACATTAAGGGTTGTATTTTGTCCTTTGCCCCTATTTAATATTTAAATTGTTGACTTTGCCTCAAAATATGAGAATGCTATCATCACTTTCATCAGAAGTGCATTGAAAATGTGAGCAAAAGGTCAACACGGATGTCTTAAATGAGGATAGAAGAGAATCTTTTTGTTGTGCATTGCGCTTTTTCTATATTTTTCCTTTTGATTGGGGAGTCTTTTGCAGGATCCATTAGAGCCAGTTATGGCGTTTACCAAGCCTCTTGTTCCAGAGAAGCTGGCAGCTGCTGGAATTGCGCCCCCTTCAGATTCCTCAAAGTCTTCTGGTTCTGCAAGATCACATGCATTTCGTGGGAGAATTGGTCGAGGGGGAAGAATGATATTTGATAGATGGAATCCACTTATGCATACACCAGTCAACTGTGGAGATTCCTTGTACCTATCTCCGAGACAACAGCCCTAAACACAGTTTTACGTTGCCAGGCTAGTCTGGTTTGAGCTGTTCTTTGTAAAATGCGGGAACCAAGTTGTTGCTAATGCCCTTTGCCAATCCAGCATCTGTTATATGCTAACTTGCTGCTTCATCACCCTTGCATTGGCAGCATGCAGTCCTTTTTGGTAGGATTTTTTCTAAACCGATTATGCAGTGGAATTCATCTTGCAAATTGAAGGTATGCATATTGGTTTGGAAGAATACAATCGATCCACAGGAACTAAGCAACCTAATTAAATGTGGGGAGCAGCTTCCTGATACTTTGTATTACCACTGTATTCTATCAACAAATGAGCAGTCCCTTGGATGATTTGTTGGTATTGTCATTTGTCATTCTACGTCAAAAACGTAGGTGAAACTACATTGTTGCTATTGCACCTCTTGTTTAAGTTATTGAGCTTAGGCTTTGTAAAATTTGAAATGAAAATTTCAAATAAACGTGATTGACCGTGTATAGCTTTGTAGATTAGGTGATTTATGGTGAACTATGTCGTTCATGTTTGCAATTCGGTATAGCTCTATTTAGTATTCCAGACTTCCAGTGCTTTGCAACCTGGGAAATTTGAAAATTATTGTGATTTATAACTGTATGCTTTTTTCTAGTTTCTTCTCTTTGGTCTTATGTTGTGTATTCTTTTCTGAAAACTGTCTACAATCACAACTCAAAGCTTGGGCCAATGTTGGAAATTTGTCGGGGTTCACATAGAAAATAAGAAAAGTAGGCAAATTTGTATAACTTTGTATCTTTTTTAATTGCATTAAATAATAAAATAAAAAGGGTCATTGACCCCAGAAAAATGGTACTACATAGTTTTAATTTTTAATTGGATATCGGATTTGATCCAAACTATTGAAATCTAATTGAGATTGGATTTAGGAATATTCGGTTGGACTCAACTTTGTAAAGTTGAATTCCAATTTAGGTCGGATTGGATTTAGATCAAACCAAACCAAACCGAATGTTGACAGACATCCCTAGCAAAATGGTGAGTAGGCCAGATACAAGATTTTTGCCCTTCATTGGCAATGCTTTTTAGGAGATTGCAGGTACTATTGTGCGAGAAACTTTTGTCAAAGGTGGGTGCTCTTGTACAGCCTCCAGCAAGTAGCCAAGTAGCCTCCTCAACGCGCTGAGTAACTGCCATAGTTATATCTCTTTCTCAATCGAAAGACATTAAGAGAGTGAGATCGGCAAGTAAGGATTCTATATATGGTCCGTCTTTGTGTCTTAGATGTAAGTTTTGAGTTGTGGTACAAAGTGAAATGTCACTCCCTATCCATCATAATTTCCCAGCTATCCATGGATAAGGATTCTTCCAGAATTCCTGTGCTTACTATCGTATTTGTAATATTATCGCGCTTGCTATTGTATTAGTTAGCAAATAGGGAGTATGTAGTAGTGCCCAAGGTATTTGTATCTTCATGATATAGCCAGGAATAAGTTAGCTGGCTCTGTTTTCTTTGTTTTCTGTCAGCTTTTCCCCTTAATTTCTTGTTGCAAAAATAGGTCTCTTGCATAGCCAACTTTCACCAACTCTTAATTCATTCCTTACATGTAAGATTAAGTAAATTTTTCTCTTATAAACCGCAAATGAATTGATGTAGGCGAAAAAAAAAATCCAATCTATGTATTATAGAAGTGCTTCTTTTGTAATGTGTATACATCAGTACAAGTAGTTTGAAAGAAAGACTCTCTGGAAGTAAATTGCCTAGAATTGAAATGGAGAATCAAAGAAACGCTATATATGTTTTTCATGGATAATTCTGTGGGTTTGTACATACAGATATTTATACACACTGAGCACAACTCGGTGCTATACATTTTTCCATTGTAAGATCTATCACTCTTCAACAAGTCTAGAAGATGGTGTTTGACTACCACTACAACAACAAAGTCTTAGTCCCAAAATGATATGGGATTGGTTAACATGAATTGTCACAAGGAACCATCATCCACGAAAAATGAGAAGATGGTGTTTGACTGAAGCATTAATAACTATGAGTATGGGTGGTTTTGGAGAGTCAAAAAAATAGTTTGTTTTTAGTTTTTAAAGGGAACACAGAGAGTCCAATCCCAGACCATTGAGTTTGTACTGCTGCAACACCAGGGCATCAGAACTGCTGCACCCCGAGTCTTTGCAACCGACCATTTCTGTGGTGATGTATGGAAATTCTCTACCTCATATCTGGATAAACTTCTTCACCCACCGCTAACCATGAATTTAATTCCTCGTTTTCCAGACTGCACTTCTCAACTCGAAGCAGTATTCCAAACAATATTCTTCCCTGCTTCAAATAATTCAATCAGCCATTCAATTCGAAAAGGTAAAGCATGAGAATTAAGTACATATTCAAGTAGGAAGCTATGTCCCACCTTCACCCGCCTATATGATGCTAAAGTCGCCAAAGGTTCGCTTGTTTTGTGCACTTGTTCTGATTGGTGATCAAAGTTGATCATCTGGCATCGGTTGCATCCTCCCAAAGACTATCAGAAGAAAGCACAACAAATTAACAATGCATGGTAACTCCATTACATTATATGAATAATGGACATTAAGTTGATGCTTTGGATTTGTGAAACTCTCAAATGAGACAATTAGACAAGCTTATTATGCCACAACTTTTAATAACAAAATTTTCATATTTTATAACTCATACAAGCAGGGAAGATTGGAAGTGTGTCAGAAACATATTTTTACTATTAGATTCAATTAATAACACAAACTTACTGAAAAATACTTGCTCCCAATTCGAATTCCTCTCCATAGATCTTCATCATATGGCTCTCCCCCGGATATGAGAAGGTTGGGGCGAAATCTCATTGTGGAAACCTGAGCAATTGGTGCTTGGAGAGTTTGAGATGCTTCTATAGCAAATTAAAAGAAATAACCATGATCAGTTAAATGTAGCCAGCGGATTTCATAATTTTTGTGGAAGTCGTGATAGAGAATATGGATATGGAATAGAAAGAGCTTTGCCACACAGGAAAGCCAAAGATAAGTTAAAACAGTCATAGCATGGCTTTATTCCTGAGCAGCATCCTGAGTAAAAGTAAATAGTAAGAAAACAGCAATTGAAATCATAATTATCATTGTATGCACAAAACCAGACGGTATAAGCATAGATTACCAATTGCAAAAGTCAATTACTGGACTAATTGAAAGTCCAGGATAAGGATTCAGCCATACAGAAGATTAAAAAACAGAATCAAACATCACATTCAAAATTTCTTCTGATAAACTATGAAGGCTGAACATCCAGCAGAGGTTAAGTAGGCTGCTAGGCAGAAAACCAAGAGAATTGGAGAATAGTGTCTAATTACATAATTTCAAACTGTAGAGGAGCAAGTCTCAGTCTGGTTATCCTTAATTCAGAAAAAATCAGATCAGGTTATTTATACTTGTATTGGTCTTCAGATTCTAGAAAAGGTCAGATTATTGATTTAAGTTAGTTCAATTCATTAATTTAGTTGAGTCAAACAGAGCTTGATTGCTGGCACAAGTGGGGGCTGAGATGATATGAAATAAAGTTATTAAGGATCTGAAACAACATAGTAAAAAACATAATGTATTCAAATAGGTGCACGATGAGCACAAGCCTCATTCAGGAAACTGCAATCAGGCTATCCTCTGATACTAATTTTTACTGAGAAAAGTACAACAGCTGGGAATTTCAATAACTAATGGGTAGTTGAAGTGTCTGGAAAGTATCATGACTACAAGAGGTAGAGGAGGGGGGGGGGGGGGAGACTAGTGAATTTGTTTGTTTTGATGCTACAATTTGATCGGAGTTCAAACATATGTAAATGTAGCTGCATTTCACTCAGTTTTTACAGCATACCATACTAAACAACAGATTCAGTCACCAAAAAAAAAAAGAATAGGATTTGCTCAGCATATGAAGATAGGTGGATGGAATAGAAATGAATTGTTCAAATACATACTTGATTTTAATCTATCATTGAGATCCATAACACTTGCTTCAGATATGAGCAAGAATTGGGCTTCGTTGACAAAATTTAATGAACTCTCCACATCCCTGCACATGCCTGCACTTCCCTGTTTGTTTATATAACAATTTGAAGCTGAGGATCTCCAAAGAATGCATGGGCGCGCAATAGCATTACTAAACCAGCTGTTGACTTCTTGATCATAACTCTGCACTTCATATCTGGTAATCGTCATTCCACCTCTTAGTTTATTAATATGTAGTCTTTCAATCAGACAATAGAAAGCAAATGCTGTAACTTCACCCATCAAGCAAAAGATAATATGACAGGATCATTGTTTGGTTGCATATACTTGGTTACAGCCACTCAAAACATTTCAAAATGAGTAGGAGAAAGAAAGCACCAATTGGTGAAAATATATGAAACATATATTTCAAAGATCAATAGTATGAAAGAACTCGGACTCAAATCAAACGGCCTTGTAAAAGTTAGCATAAATTTAATTAACCTGGAAGGACAGGAAAGGTCACCATATAGATGAGAAGAAATTGCAAGAGGTCATTACAGGAAGTAATCAATAAAAGAGTATTTAGGATAGAATGGATGAAGTCTTCATTATATGGGAGATGTAGGAAAAGAAGATAGATTATGTAAAGGCCTAAGACCTGTTAAAATTGGCTGTATAGCACTATCATAGGAGTGAGGTGACAATATAAGGGATTGAGTAGTACAAGATAGGAAGTTAGAACAATACGTCACATTTGTGAGGATTTTATTTATTCAATTACTGTTTCTACTTTCAAGACCTAATATTATCTCAATGCATGAGCAGATGTGACAATTTCATAAAACACAAGAACACAAAGAACCTCAACCAAAAATATAGATAAATACATGTGGCCGTGCATATCCATCTCTTCTCTTCCTAAGCAGTATGACACTGATTTCAGGAGAATCTGGAGTTTTGTTTTGCATCGTGGTGATTCAACAAATAGGATACCTTGACTCAAGTCTATAAATGTACTTATAAGACTCATTTCTGGGGCCTGCAAACACCAACAAAAGACAATTGAACACTATGATGCTTTATCCCGATAGTAAAAAGGACATCACTCTTTTTAAAGGGAAAGCGCAAGAAGGAAGCACATAAATCAGTTGCCCAGAACTAGGGTTTCCAATAATCTGAAGGAAGGGAATATCAACTGAAGACTCATGTATATAACCTCATCAGTAGCAAGACAAAAAGAGGGGGGGGGGGGGGGGGAGGGGGTGATTCCAGAGATGTGGTATAAATCATGCCCATCTCGCCGCAACCATAGCAAGTAAGCAAGATGAAATCTCATTTCAGTTTTCTTTTAAACAAAGACAGAGCTGGGGCACAAAGGAACACAGTTCTAGTGCAGAACAAACCCAGTAAGTAGCAGCCAATGCCACGCTACAAGTATGAAGTGTATCACATGGTCACAGATTTATCGCAGAATGCCATCTCTGTAATCCATTGCAAAGCACCCATTCTGTTAAGTAATGGCCATTTATTTTCTCCATGCTCAAGACTTGTAATTTGTGATCAGTCTTAAAAAGGTAAACAATTATGATTCCAAAAATGATCATTATCTTCAACATTTGCTTGATTTCACTTCCAAGTTCAATAAAATTCACAAAAGATCTACTTCTTGGACTCAAAACTTTTAAGATTGTAGAATGTTGAAAGAAATCGGAGTTAGAAAGAGGTGGTTTAGTTCATGTGACATGTATGCTAGAGAGAGGTGGAGAAGGGAGAGAGATAATTTCTCCAATCATTACCTACCCATTTCTTGAGCCACATCATTATAAGCCATGTTCCTTAATAGTTCAGAGAGAGAGAGGTAAAGGAGTTGGTAACAACAGAGGTCATTTCTGCTACTCTTAATATTGTTAATGATTTTCTTAATCTTTGTAGTTCAATATTCTCAAGATCGGAAGATTCATAACAGACAAAAATTCTTCTGACAAGTGATCTCCCAAGGGCCCAACTGCCCAACAAAAAAGCACCAGATCAATTCTTGAATGTGGACCACAGTAGTAAAGAGGCAACTGCTACTTGTGCAAATTCTATCCTAACTTGAACCCAAACTACACAGAAGAATCAATTAGAGTACATAGAGTTCAATTATTGAGGAAAACTTATCACTTGTTTACGCATGATTGTTTTAAGATTAAGAGTGCCTAGAGGAACAATTTCTTACCTATCACAATATACAATTAATGTAACTTAAAAGAAGTTCATTACAGTTAGAATGAAAGCACACCTTTTTCTGAGTAAGAATTTCCCCACTTGGACTTCTCAGAAGCCATTCTCGGTCATGTAGCAAACCTACAATAAGAAGGTAAGCACAGGTGAACATAAAGGATTGCTCAAGGCGATGACAATTGCATATAATTTAAAGAATCAAATGTCAAAGTTAGCCTTTGACATGTTATCACCTCCAAAATAAACATCCCTAGAAATCAAAGATCTCGACAACATAAGGAAATAAATACCTGTTTTGCTTAGAGGCCAACTATCTACACAAAATCCTGCACAAGATTTTATTGGATAAACAGTGATGGACTTCAGATACAAACCCCTGGATTTCTCCAGTTTCTCTGAATCTGCATCCAAAAAGATTTGAGATGATGATCACAATAACAGCAGTGTAGGAGAGAAATAATTTACTTGTGAAACTAGTGCATACTGCATAGTGATGATGAACAGCAACATATTGTAACTAAACTATATAATCCAATCATAACTGGTGTGAATCTCCCAGTTTTATGAAGAAATGAACAAGAGTTTTTCAAAAAAAAAAAGACCATTCATACATTCATTTGGTCATACAAATTCATCACTGACTGAGACCATTGAGTGCACATTAATGACAACAATGCAACTGCTTGTCTAATTATGAATATTTCACAGAAATGGTAGCAAAGTTGCTAGGATCAACCTTCAATCAAGAAAATGTCGGACTCCTGTAGAAGGCAATTATATCTCACTGGAGTAGGCAACACCACAAAGGAACTTACTAGAAAATCGACTACTTTCTGCACAAGACAACGACATGTGAGTATTGCAATAAGGAGCTCATGAAAAGTGAACGATATTTAATCAATCACAAGCCCAACATCTTTTTAAGGGAACATAAAAGAATCTTCTAATTTGAAAAATATATCCCTTTAAGTATAATGCAAAATAAGAGGGAAAAAAGAAAAAACTGAAGATGGGAGAAAAAGTGAGTAAAGTTATTTACTTATTTCAAAGAGAGAGGAATGCAAACACGTGAAAAGGCTCAAAAAAAAATTACTGAAAGAGTAAGATGTGGTCAATCCATCATTAAATCAAACAACATTTGAAGCATATTTAAAACTGTTAAAGCTCAAAAGGGATAACTGAAAGTATTTTTATCCCCTACACTATATTAGGAATAAGAGATTAATTCATTTCCATTAAAGAGAATCGAATTGGAGAATTCCCATTACCTTCCGCCTCTGACACATTGGATCAATTCTAATCCCATTAACAAAGCTTCTACCCCTGATTACGTACCCCTTGACGAACTACCTTGCCTATTATACCTTATTTTCTACTCACCTAGTGGCTCTTTCAGAGACCATTAAAGACAAGCTGTCTATATAACTTAACTCTGCACTGATCAGTTGCAGTTTTGAGCTCATGCTCTTCGGTGATTATAAATACACGACTTATCATTAAGAACTGATAACGTCTTGCCATATTGGGGCTAAGTTCTGGTTTTAGAGAAAGTTCTCATTCCACACATGTAATAAAACCTTTCTCTCATGTTAGATTAGGCTGAACGCAGCGACATCACAGCCACTGAGAAATTACTTATTTGTTGCAGTCACCATTTTTATGAAGGAAATTCATTTTAGTCACCTTAATTGCTGTTAACTGGCATTTCCCCAATCCATCACATTTTCACATATCGGAGACTTGTTAGTCAAAATGCAATTAGATATAAAACATTTTTTTTGTTGACTTGCAAGGCTGCATATTATTACCTTAGCTTCCTCAAAAGTTGACATGTAGCCAAAAGACACTCTAACAGCTCCTGTTGGCTTTCCATTTACAATGTCAAAATCATCCCAGCAGATATGACCGGCCTGTGTAGAAGACCAGGTGGATATTATAAATGGATCAAACGACATAATGGTCCACACATGAAAAGCACAATAATGTAATACCTCAACATTTGACAGAAGCTCTGTGTGAGAAAGGCCAAGGTACTTCGCACAGGCACCAGGATTACAAAAACATCCTGTCTAAAGGAGAAAAAATTACATCAGAGAGCAACCCTGCATAGAGTGCTCAGCTCAAAAAATTGAAAAAATTATGATTAGAAGAAAAAAGATATATCGCAAGCAAGATTTTTTTTACTTTTTTTTTAGTTTCTTTTTATCAACTGAATTGCTTCTCCCCACTCTCCTGACATACATCACAAAACTAATCAAAGTACTAAGTACTCATGTAAATTTGACACATGTAGATTGGCCAGTATTTATCTTCACAACTAACAAACCTAAAATAAGGAACAGAGGACATAGAACCTAACAAAAGAACAAGTGTTTCACGTATTATACCCGCAGATGAATTCCAGATAGAGAAGCCAATTTCTCCACCTCTCGATATCCATACCAAGAGCCATCTGGCCGTTTTAAGTTGAATGAAACTATCGATCCCTTCTTCTCAGATATCTACATAACAGCTTCAGAGTTATACACTAAAAACAGACACTAATTTACAGTCACAGTCACACATAGAGGTAACAATGCACAGATGACTCAACATAACAGTTAAGTTAAGATTATGATAATCATCAGCCATGCCAACAAAATCCTCACCCAAACCATAGAATCATAGATCCACTTATCTAACAGCCACAAATTTTCATGTTGTAAAGGCTGAAGCTTCTCCAGCACCCCCCCCCCCACCCCCAACACACACACTAAGAAAGAATAACAAAGTTTTTTTTGGTTTTAAAAAGTATCTTTTCACTTCACTATTAATGCTCCAGCCTCAATCAAAATATCAAATAAGTTATCCTTGTAAATAAAATGCTGAAATTCTGAAAATAATTTATTTCTCTCTTTTTTTTTTTTTTTGGGCATATCTAACAAGTAACAACAGTCTACCTGTCCATCACTGTTGGCCAGGGCTTTCTTTTGAATCTCTAATGATTTTACAGGCTTGTTGTACTGGTCATCTATATATTATGTTCATAGAATAGATAAGACCAAGGTACACTACATTGCATGGTTGTATGACTTGTATCAATTACGGAGTATTTAATTTTCATAATAATAAAACAAATTGCGGTCAATCTGGGCTCATAGCTTCCATTATTGACAATTCATCCGGCTCATTAAAGAAACTCTAGCCTCTTCAGGGCAGCGTATGCTGATTGTGAATATAATAAGTGGAAGACAAGCATCAAATGCATGTCACATCACCAATATGTTTGCCGAATCACATGTATCTATGTTGTAACTTATGCTTTGATTGCATCTTGCAGAAAAAAGTCTACTTATGAAGTCAAACTTGCAAACATTTCAGATAATGCATTAAGGGGCAGAAAAGGTAGGATAGAGGAGTAACTTCTTTTTTTTTTTCTCCAAACCAATGTGAGAAAATTTCTTTATTAGTTTATATATAAGACTTGTTCATGAAATTCCTCAAATGTGTAACACAAGATCTAAAACTCCAGATAAATAATTTAAAATTAGCTTATACTGCTACACACTAACCATGCTGTTATCTCCATAAATTATGCACGCATCTGCTCCACTATCATGCTTCAAGCTCAAGAGTACTCTCCTCAAATACGTTGCAAGAGAAGAAGTGTGCCTTCAAACAATACAGTCAGTATGTCACTATCTTATCAGAAATACATTATACAAAGTACATTATTAATTGCACATCTCAAAACAAAAGTTCAAAATACAGCACTCTCACCAGCTATTAAACAACAGTACATAAGTTCCAAAAAGGCACCAATAACATATGTCTTGATGAAAGCTAGGAAAAAGTATCCGATCACATTAAAAAGTATGTGGGCATATTAATTGGATTTTACTAATAGCAAAGAAGATCCATTAAACAATTTAAAGAGTAGACAAAGGAATAAATAATTAAATAAAAGGAGGGAGAGAGAGAGAGAGAGAGAGAGAGAGAGAGAGAGAGAGAGAGAGAGAGAGAGGTGCAGACTGCATATAAACACTTGATTTTGCCCTTCTTTACTGTTTAGAGACATGTAGGTCAACTTGCTGACACTTTTTGGCACTCAGATACTGTTTGGGGTTCCAAAGAATTTGTTTGATTCCCATAACTTCTTTGGACAGAAGGGGATCAGGGGGCATAAGTAATTAAGTATCAACAAGAGAAAATTTCACAGGAATAGTTTCAACACGTGACAAAATTAATCTCTCGAAAGATCATTTTGGCTATTCCTGGCTTTGCAACTGAGTATTGTTCAAAATGAAATCATATCCCCAAATAATACACAATTTTTTCTAAGTTTATACGAAGTTTTTTTTAAAAAAAAGAAAAAAAAAACATCAACAACAACAAATTGCAACAATCTCAAGAAACTTCCTTAATAGTTAATACTTCATCCGTTCCATAAATATTGCAACAATTACCATTTTAGGAAGTTTCACAAATATTGCAACATTTTCTTATTTGCACATGTTTTTTCTCTCTCTTTCCTCATCACATGGTCTCTATCCTTATTCCTATCTCTCTCCTCTTCTTAAAATCCATGTCCAATCCCCATGTTGCAAAATTTAGGGAACGGAGGAAGTATATTTTATACCAGCATGACAGGGATAAGTCATTCTTTTTTTAAATTGCTAACCACCTATTGTAGGTGGGTAGGAAGTAGATTTTATACACTAACAAAAAAACATCCTTAAACAATACCTAGTTAACAACATATTAATCACACATAACTAGAGGTCTAGATTCTGTAAAAAAAAATCTTTCTGGAATGAAAATAATCCATACCGAGAGATTGAAGAAATAGTATGGGTGTTTAACATTCTGAAGCCATGACGAATGGAAGCAATGCTTATAAAAGATGCAGTTCCGTCCTCAAAGGATTCCTCAATTCCATCTCTGTGCTTGACAAAGTCCACATCAGCAATTGATGCCGCTACAGTTCCTGCAATGATAATATGATTTTAACAATATGGAGTATATGTTAATAAAGTTCTATACAGAAAATATATATACAGCTCCTGAAATAAGTTTTTCAGTCTCTGGTCACCAAGAGTAAGACTGCATACATCTTGACCTTCCTAGACTCATATCTGGCTTTTAATAGGGCACTCTTTCCCTAAAACTGTTATAGATTTAGCATTCCTCCAATGAGGACTACCAAGTCACCCCCACAGCCATGGTGCCAGGTGGGTGATAAATAAAGCCAGGTGAGATGATCAGATGATGAATTGCTGACAGCCAAAAAGTCAGCCATACAGGAAAATTCATACAAAAATTTAAACAACATACCCCCACTAAAGTAAGTCTTCTTCAGCAACTTTGCAGCTTCTGAAATCCAGAAACAAAAATGACTTAGACATACATTTACTTTGATACCATAGTATTTATGCACTGTTTATACTGCAGAATATGGACAATTCTTTCAATAACTGCAGATAATAGATAAAGCCATACAAAACTGTAAAGTGTAATCACAATTACGTCCCTATATGTATAGCAGTATAGGTTTGTATGAGTGTGCAATCACATCTCCAATACTAAATAAAAATTTCATACTCTGACTAAGGGATATTCCAATTATAGCTCCTACATATTTCTTTACTACCAAATATCACACACTGCTTATGCACTATACCCTTCAACATGGATACTATATACTATCTCTGTTTTGCTAACTCGGTTACTGTAGCTACGCAAGCCAAGAAAAGTAAAAATGGGGACCATAGATGTGGGCACTTTTGCATTAAAGAGGAGAGAAATAGAGATTAGAGAGTAAGAGATTTATTAAATAAAATTGGGGCCCACAAAGTGGGGTTGTGGATGATAAAAAAAAATGAATACAAAGTTGTCATAATAGGAATAAATTAAAAGTGAGTAGAACTTACAAAAAACAAATGAAAACGGAAAGTGAGTAATACTTAGGAAAACGGAGGTAGTAATAGTTTGGACAAAAATCACAGCATATAATAAATATAAGCAAAGTGAATCGATTTCACAATAAGGCTATTCAACTGTGAGCTTACCCAATTATGATCAAGGGGAGAAAGAAATTTGGATTGAATGATACTATTGTGACACAATAACTATCTAACAAAGAAAAGTTCTAAACACATTAATTTTTACAATTGTTCGCAGACTTTGTAACTTGTAACTGTCACACAACTCAGTAAATGAAAGGGTCAATCAATTCATTCGTTGTCCAGAGCCCCAACGATAATTAAGTCAAGAAACTATTATTCACTCCATCCCAGAGAGATGACAAATAACAAAACTCGGCCATAAGGAATAGTTTTTTTTTCTTAAAGTTCAGTCAAAACTGCATTGGATCTATACATATAAATATGCAAAGGAAAAAAAAAACATAAATGATTCCTTCTTATTCTTTTTTCGCTCCCAAAGCATATGGAACTTTTGGGATAAAATACTGCATAGAAACCCAGTTATCAAAAGATATCATACATCTTCATGTCTCAGACTAAAAGTTTCAAATTGTATTTCCATCATAATTACACAAAATAAAAGCAAAACAATGAACTATCTTACAAACCCTTCTGTCATTTACAGAAGGCCCAGAAGTCCAGAACTTTCCCTCACATTATCATCCCCTTTGTGTTCATTCTCTTCTCACTTCAATCCATCAACTGAGAAAATTTAATGGTAAAAACTCTCAATTCAATAACTCTACACAATCACTTACCATTTTGGACAATGAGAGCACCAAGCCCAGTCGGATAGCCAAATATCTGTTGACAAAAGAAAAAATGTGAAATGAATCAGCAGTCATCTACATACAACACTAGGAGAAATATGATGGCTACCTTATAAAATGATAGAACAACAAAATCAGCTGGATATATCGATAAATCAGGTGGTTCTGTTGCACATCCTTTGGCAGCATCTATCAAGACAAGCCAGCGACCCCTTTCCAAAAGAATATCCAAACCAACAAATCAAAATATTCTACATGAAAACTATGAGATCCAAAATAATAGCACTTGGGGGAAGGGGGTGTGAAGGAGGAGGACTACTATACTCGGATGTCATGGAAGTATGGAACCAAACAAAGCAATTTTTTTAGGATCCAACAAAGTTTCACATTCTGCAGAACCCATATATGCAAAAATACAGCACAAATCATTGGAAAAGATTCAAAAGAGTTGGCTGGCTGAAGTGTGGAAGATAGTCTCGTTGGAAACTTGGTGGTACACTTGAAATGAAAGAAACCAACAACAGGTCTTTGTAGGTATAGCCTCCCTCCTAATTAAGGATTTAATTTCCTTTTACTATAGGTTTATGGATAGCTAGAATAAAGTATTAGGTACTGAGAGATACTAGATGTTCCTTGATGTTGTGGAGTACTTGCTTCATGGTAGTTTGACATCATGAGCTTTTTTTGTACCTTTTTGTACATAGGTGACGTCCCCTAGTAGTCTTTTACATATAACTCAAAACTACTTATTAAAAAGTATACAAATTCCATCCTAAATCCAAGCTGTGACATTTTTCATGAAGAAGCTTCAAAATCTACAATTCCCCTACAATAGTACAATCATATAGCCCAAAATTGGATTGGCATGTTGACCTTCAGTGGATCCTACACCACTTCTTCTTACTAAAACTCATGTTACTAATCAGCATACGCACCAAATGTTAAAGCATGATGAAATCCTCTGGACACTCTAATCTCAAAGTATCTACTCCAAGGATGCCCAACCACCTCATAATGCAAGAACTCTAATTGATTATATCACAACTCCATAGACACAGTCCAACATCAAATAAATGCACTTGTTAAAGGACTGAATTTGAAGATTCTTATCAGTGTTAAGACTTATGCCTGCTTGGCCAAACATGCTATTCGCAATAGCTTTCCTTCTTCAAGCCTTAGTTTCCCAAGAAGGCTACAGAAAACCCAAAAGTCCCAAATTATAGAGGATGCCATAAGTTGTAAATAACATAAGATCATTTTACATGAGAAAATCCCATTATAAATTTCCTTAGACTTCCATACTCTGAGATAGCAGGAGTGCTTGCAAGTTGCAATTGCATCCAAACTGTAACACTAGAGTGTACATAACTGCAGTAAATCACTCAGTGTCGTAAATAAATAAGATGAAAGAGTAAACTGCCACAATAATCCCATTAAGTAGATGTTTTCAGACACCAAATTCCCAGAGCCAAGCCTCTCTTTAGATGTGTAGGCTAAGTCCCACCCAGCAAGAGGGCCCCTTCTCTCCTCCCAACCCCAGAAGCATCCCATAAGTTTGGTCAAATATCCTGGAAAAACCTTGGAGCTCTGAAAAGGTAGAGGTAATATAAAGAAAGATCCAAAACAGATAATAGTAGACAAAGGTGATCTGACCACCAGAGAGAAATTAGCCCCCTAACAATGGTTCCACCCATCAAATTTCAACCACTTGGTCCAAAAAAGATGTGCTCCTAGGATTACCCCTAATCAAAGTCAAGAAAGACTTTAAAAAACGCAAGCAACAAGAAAAGAAAACTTGTCTAGAGCATGGTAGCTCAACCAAGCTACAGGGATTTGGCTTCTACGTTAGTTCATTCTAAGTCAAACTTTTCTATTGCTCAGACTATAGCAGCAAAACAGACAGCCTTTTTCGTATTTCAGGCTTCTGTGCATCCTCAAAGTGATCCTTTATGATATAGAGTTGTTTATAAGAGTACAAACAGGATTAATTAGCATGAAAGATATAAGAATTAGTAAGACAATTCTATAATCCACAATTCCACACACCATCTAATCAGAGTAACTGATTTAGTATGGTAAAAACCATGCAATATGATAAAAAGTTGCCATACTTGATTAGCGTTGTATCTTTTAAAGTGTTCTCTGACTGCTCCTTCAAAGCTCTAATTAAGTCAAGGTTGAACCTCATGCCAGAGAAATTGCATTCTGATGGAAATGCAAACAAATGATGTGCAGTGCCTGCATAATATGCAGCCAAAAGAAAAATGTCAAAGCCAGCCTAAAAATTCAGAAACTTGTCAAAAGAAACCACTACTTATGGCAAGAAGAAAGACCCACTAATTAGATGCAATATGTAGGGTTTAAGCCCACAACCAAAACGACGCAAGGATGAACAGTAAAATGCAGAGGAACTAGTGCATTGGTGTGCCTATAAAGCAGGGTAGAAACAACTTAAGATAGAGTTTCAAATACTTGGACAAGACCTTGAGGCAGAGCCATACGTTAGGCAGTAAGGACTTAGGCATATGACTTTGTGTGAAGTTCAGTTTTCTAAGCAATTTAGATTAAGAATTCCAGCAAATTTATACTTGTATAATTTTTGTTTGACGTGATCTCCTTTGTTAAATTTTTCTACTTTTTTTGGCCTTTGCATAGCATGTAGAAGAGGTCTCATAGAACTAAAAACTCTCATTTCACTGCTAAAAAATCTGGTTTAAAGCAACATTGGAATTATACAAAAACAAGCTCTATGTAGATGGAGACTATTTTTTGTAATATAAATCAGTGCAGCAAATGATACTTTCTTATGTTTTATCAAATCCAAAGAATCACCAATTCACAATCATGAGAGGAGAGAAGGAACATTACATCACTTTAACAGAGTAATAGTGCATTGGGTTGCAGATTTTTGGCTTAACGTTGCCTAATTCCTAAGGATTAAATTTTTTCAATACTTTGGATATTTTGTATCGGGTGACAAGTGACACTAAGGGCATCTTTCATGATACTCCTATGTCTCTCATGGTATAGGATTGAGGTCAAGTGCTTTCTCTATAGGTACTTCTACCGTCATTTCCTTTTTTCTCTATTCTCTAATATAATTTCACCAACAATGAACAGGCTGTAGACAGTGTCAAGGTTAATTTTTCTACATTACTCTTTCCTAACTCTAAAGAGGGGAATTGTATCCTGCCATTATCCAATTGTATCCTGCCAATATCCAATTATCATTTATTTTAAGGAGCAATCGGCCCATTCAATCTCTTGTCATATAATTTTGTCCACAGATTACAACTTTCAAGCACCTACACAGGTTGGGAGTGCTTTTTGAAGCATAAATGATATCATCATTGATATCACTACTTTCACTAGTAAACATGTCCTAACCTGATATATTTCCATGAAGACAACCTAGACTCATCCATTGATCATCATCTAATACTACGGAGTATTTTACAAACGTGCAATTTATTCAATCTAGTCTACAGAGTGCCTGCATTTATAAGCATATACTGTAATCTTTAATTCTTTACAATGCCGGTAGCTTACCTATAGCAATGACATCCAAACCAAATCAAACTTAAAAATTGTAAATTTGGATTCCTAAAGTTTCACAAAGCATAAAAATACCTGGAGAGTCTTCTTTAATGCATCTATTGGCATTCCTCCTCTGTATGTCATGTTGTGCCACTTTAAATAAAGATTTCTGGTCAGTGGAAGATGTGTCCTGATCCACAAATTCCTCCACATCTACTGCAACAGCTATAGCTCCTTGCCTCAGAGCGTATCTATTGATTTTAACCCCAGATGTCAGCAAGAATAGATTGAAGGGATACAAACAGCCAGTGGCAAAAACAATAACCAAAGGTGTCAAGCATAGACCAAGCCATGTAATTTGATCATGTAGATACAACAAAGACAAATATGTCATATTAACTGCTTGCAATTAACAAACATAGTCAAATATGTAGCAGCAGATAAAGGTTAAAAAGTTTTTCTAGTACCCTTATTGGCAACAAACAGAAAATTTTGAAAAGAAAACCTTGAACAATTTTTGACACATATTTCTTTCCAAAGAACCTACTGATAAACACATAATATGAACTTTAGGGTTTTGAATTTTGATTAGAAAACGGTAAGTCAAGTTAGTCAACCAAATAAAATATGTGAAAGTAAGTTTTAAATGATTGAATAAGTGATCTACAGCTTAAAGACTTCATTATAAGCATCCATAGTTCCATACAGTTACAAAAAAGTCATTTCATCTTCCCAAATACATAGAGTAGGCAGTTCACCAGAACTAGCACCATGGAAATTATATGAACATTCTTTTAATAATCAATGCAATGATGACAATCCAAAATTATAACTTTCTCCATACACCATAAACCCCTGTGAAGGAAGACCAGAGAGATTTATAAAAGGCAGTTGTACTAGTTAAGGTTCCACTAGACAAAAAGGCTGATTACACCCTATCTTATATCCACTCAACATAAAGATATTAATGATAGTAGGAACCACATGTTACATATGGCACTACTGAAAAGAACTCCAATCTAGCATTTGAATCACATTGCATGTACAAAGAAGCTAAAAAAATAGCACAGATTCCTTTGATAATTTAGGCTGGTAGAGGATAGTGCGTACTCTCTTATCCCAATGACGCTATTATGATTCTCCATTGTGTACATGAAGTGGCTTTGATTGCTCCAAGGAAAGGCCTCTCCAACCATCTTTAAAGCAGCTGTCGCTCCAGAAGTGAAAATGCACTTGTATTCTTTTGCAGATGCATTACAATAATCTAAGACCTACCAAGCAATACATCATGATCAATTGGACGATAAAAAGGCATAGGATATTTATAACTCAATGACATCTAAGGCTACTAGCTCAAAGTCCCTAAAACTACACCAATTTTGAAGAGGAAGTTGATAAATTAAGGATAAAAAATTAAAAATAAAATAAAATAAAAAACTATATATATGGCTGGCCTAAAACTTGAGTTCAGTTTTAAAGTTGTAGATTGATGAGTCAATCTTACCTGCTGACGACATTCTTTTATGATTTCAGAAGTAGCCAAGCTGGAGTCACTTTGGCTGTCTTTATTCAACCAATATTAAGAAAAACATTTATGGTATTTCAACTCAAAAGCAAGTAGAGTTGCAGCTGATTGATCCTATCTTTCACATTTGACCACAACAACATATCACAAAGAGAACACAAAGACGATTTACAAATACAAGAAAGAGCCTGAATTTAAGGCCCATTTAGAAGATATATATTATGGAACATCAAAACAAACAAAATAGGTCTTCTTTAATACCGGGCAACTTTAGCTAACAGCAGAAAGCCAGCAGCCTAAATTGAACTCAAATGCTAAAGTAGGATGCAGAATCTCATATCTTTAAGCGAAGGTCTCATTTTTTAAAGATGTCAATCATGTCATATCAACTAATCATGCTTCATATGCTGTCTTGTTTAGCAATTATTCCTTTTGTGTTAACAAAGCTAGGAGTGGCCTATCAAAATGAAAAATTGAAAAGTGTTACATTGACAAAGGAAAAAAAACATATATATACAACACTGATCGTACGAGGAAATACAAAGTTTGTTCCTTGCCATATATTTGCAAAGGAAAAAGGAGTGAATTGTACCCTTTTCCCCCATTGATTTAGTGCCAAAATTTACAATGTTGATTTCTACTATAATTTCATCAAAGGGCATAGTTTCAGAACCACAGGACCTTCTGAACTTTTGAGCTGTTAATCATCGACATAAATGTAAGAAGCAAACAACATCACCACCAACAATGTACAAACAAACACGAAAATATCAATAACATAATTAAAAGTCAGCACAAGCATCGGATACGAGGATTTCCGTAAACATTTGAAGTAAGGTCCTTGAAAATTGCTTCCATTTGAAGCTCAGAATACAATGTAGCCCCAGCATGATCCAAATACACAGTATCAGTATCTACAAAAACCACAGTGACAACAATAACACATCTTAGTCAATAATTAAAGTTCACTTCCTAATAAAAAATAATCAATAAAACTATATTTTTAGAAAAATGAAACCACCACCTAATCTCTTGAATTCAGTAGCCCGAATTTCGTCAATAGTTTTGGGACCATCTGGGTACCCGTAATCCTTGCCAAATTCACTCAAGAATTGCTCTTTGTCCATTTCCATTACTTCACAACTACAAAAACTCATCAAAATCTGATTTTATTTGCAATCCCGGGTCGATCGGTATCATTAATGTTTAATTATTGCTCAAAGTTTCGACTTTTCGACTCATATAGTTTTCCCTAAGTGTTGCATATATCATTTTCCATAATTGAAGTGCAAAGAATATACTATAAACTAAAAGAAACATCTTTCGAGCATGAAATGAATTGAAACTTAAATCCTATTGAGATGAACTTATAAAATTACTAGGTATATAAATATAAAAATAAAAAATAAATAAATAAATAAATAAAAATTGAAATTGAAATCAAAATTTGCTACAAATAGGTGAAACTCACCGGAAAGTGCAAAAGAGGATTGAGATAGTGAAGAAGAGGCTAGTGAATTAGCGTTATTTGATTGAAAATTGCAAGTAATGAAGAAGATTTATGTGGTGGAGAAGATGAGGAAAGGGCGTTTGAGGCGGTGTCGCCGATGAATTTCGCGGTGGGGGTTTGAAGTAGAACTGAATTGCGTGGGAGATTACAATTTTGCTTCCTGCGTTTTAAATAATGGGCCATGGGATCTACTTTCGACATAATTGACACGGTTAGGCCCCCGTTTGGTGGCAGCGTTTAAGTAGCTTTTCTCAAACTTTAAAAATAGTAATGTTTTGAGGTCGCGGGTAGCGTTTGACAAATTTTTATTAATTTTAAAACAATGTTTATATGAATTTCGATATATTTTGGTATTGCAACGCTAATTTTTTCAAACACTCATATTGCCAATCGTTACTTTGACAACTAACTTCTACCCACTACTAATTTATCGCTACTCGCTACCTTAACAGTTACCCGCTACTTGACCGCTAAAAGCTACATGCTACCGCTACTTTTGCCAAATAGGACCTTAAACTAAGCACACAAATAAATGTAGAAGTTTGATTGATGCTCGTAGATAATATATTATATGCACAAAATAAATTAACAAAAAAAAACAAAAAAAAAAACATATCAGTACTAATTTTAGGGCGTGTTCAGCAAAATATAGTTGTGATTCTTGTGAATATAGTTGTTAGCTGTGAAAGTAGATGTTAGCTGTGTAGGTAGTTTTTAGCTGTCAACAAGTTGTAGCTGTGAAAATAGATAATTGAGGTATGAGTGTTCGATAAAGTAGCGGTCAACTAGCTATTACATATAAAAATCAATACGGAGTATTTTACATTTAAAACTATAGATTAAATTTTCAACAGTTTCCTCAAAAGCTACATCTAATTTTACAAGCTAATATTTCTAACTTTTCATAAAAGTTACATCCACCACCTAATTTGAAATTAATGTTAGTAAATAAAATATGATATGGTTAAAGTTAATTATAAGACAAAAATTGTAAGTCAAATTGTTTGTGAAATATATTTGTGAAAATTGTTTGTCAAATTGTTTGTGAAATATATTTGTCAATGTAGATTATGGAATACTTTGTATATTGTACTCGTATTTATTAATTAGTACTTGTATTTATAAATTAGTACAACTCACTCAATCTCGAATTAATGATTTTGCATATAATACCCCGTCTAAAATAGAAGACGAGGCATTAGCGGAAATAACGTCGAGACGGAATGTCACTCTAAGGGTTACTAAAAAACTAAACAAATTAAAATAAATAAATTACTAAAATAAAAAATAATAAAGAGAAAGAAATCCCAAATGATCAAAGAAAACTTTCAATGAGGCTGAACAACCTCGAATTTGACTATCTCATAAAGAGAGGTAAAGACATCAAAAGATAGTCGATAAAACTACTATGAGACAAACTAAACACTTTGCTCTCAGCCCAAATTCAACAAACGCTATTTTTCACCTGCAAATAACATTTAGGTTCCACAATCAGTGGGGAGTAACTAGCAGTTCTCCCAAAACTTGTAGAAACACAAAGCTAAGCATAGTGTAAAGCATAGAAGCATACATATACAACATATATACATGTCAAACAACAACTTCATAATTTAGACAAGATAAACATGATAAGCTACATGGATAGGAATACAAATCAAAACATGCAACATGATTATAACTCAAAACAAACATGTATATTGAACAAAGTAAATATATTACCACATGATCGCAGAGTAAGAATAAATAGCACCCAAAACACATCAATAAACTCATAAAAACAATAATTAACACTTTTTAAAGATTCTTTAAAAAGATTAAGAAAAATACATGACTAAGACCTTCTCAAAAGTGTAATAATATTAAAATAGAGAATTTTAACTTTTCGAAAACTGATCCATAGTGAGGCAAGCATATAAAATATGAAGGTCGATGAATTCTGCAGCCCACCATCAAAGGTTTGTCAGGGCGAACCTACAGACGATTCCGCAGCCGTCTGCGTCTGAGAATGGCCAAACTCCCAATTTTCCTACTCGAATTCCACAGCCCAAGTAGTTCCGGACGACAGCAATTAACCTAGAAAATTACATCTCGAATTCCGCAGCCCAAGATGTTAGCTGTTCCAACCATTGAATTTCGCAGCCCAATGGTTGTCTTACACTCACGAATCATATAAAACAGTAAAAATACTTCTTCAAAATCATCCAATCACATTTTAGGGATCATCAACCCTAATTTAAAATACTACAGGTCTTTACTTCTAAGACCAAAATTCAACGAAAACCTTCAAAAGAGTTTAACTTCAAAATTATTCAAAATATACAAAAAATCATTTATATATCAAACAAGGTGTCACTCTTATTGTCTGGATTTGGGTACGAAGCTAATTATAATAAAATATCACAATACACTCCGTACACAACCCTTGGCGAAGCGGTGCTAAAAACATTGTTATTTTACTTTAAAGCACAACGACGTCGACAACTTACTTAATAACTGAAAAGGGCAGCAACCATACCACTTCGTCACACTTCATAAACACGCTCAAATAATGCCTAAATGATAAAATAAAACTATTGACATATTAAGCCACATATTAGGCAATATATGCATACAAGATAAGCTTAAATTCATGACTTTAACATGGTGAAAACAACATGAAAATGCAGCAGCCCCTAACAAGAATTTCAGCAGCATATTGCACAACAATTTCACACAAAACCAACCTTAAACTCACAATTAACCTTAGCCCATTACCATACACACTCTAAATACATAATAGGTCAGGTTAGGAACAAGATTAGGCACAAAAATTAAGCATTTGATCATCACTTAAAAACTACTCGATTCACACAGTTCACAAACTGATCTGCAGCAGCACCTTTGCTTAGTTTTAGGCATATAATCACAACAAAACTTACCCAAAAACATGATAATTTAATTTGGGGATATACCTAACATGATTCTATACCATATTAGGAACAAAATCAAAGGAAGTAAAGGCTGAAAACGTAGTGCACAATGACAGGAATCACAGCTGCAGTTTTGTGAGCATTAGTGTTCATATCATTCTTAAAAACCACCCAAAAACACAATAACAATCTATGGAACCAAACCCTAGTATATTTAAAACTTCTAGGACAGATTATCTAGCATAGAAACCAGCAATAATCATGAATAAGAGACCCTTATTTCTCACGCACAAAGCAGCAAACAAACATGAAATTCTAGCACCCTAAATTATTACTACAAATTCCAATATAACCAACTCTAATTTGCACCTAGCCTTAACCTATCCTAGCCATGATTCCTAAAGCTTTGAATAGTGCTAGTTACCTTGAATGGAGATCAAGAACATATCAGATTAGAAGAAAGGAAAACATCATAATTTGAATCCGCCCGAGCCGCTCCAAAGTCACGCCTCTTGCTAGCCTCGATTAATGATGTTATAGGGTATTTAAGTGCTCGAATAAAAGGGTAAAACACAACATCAATGACCCACGACTATCCCTTGATAATTACCAGAAGATTTGAGGGAAATTGAGAGGAGAAAAGTGTTGTGATGGTGCAGCAACCTCACGCACAAGAAGCGTTGTTTTTGTATGTGAATGGTAGGGAATATCAAGTGGTTTTGGACAGCATTATTTAATTGGTGATTGAATGGGATTGATTGCGGGTGTGAATGGGGGGTGGAAAAATGGACAGCAACAAGCCCTTGTATAGCCGTGAGAAATAGGAGAAGATGGGCTCAAGCAACACATGTGATTAGAAAGCAAAGCCCTATATTAAGGAGGTTAATTGGACTAGTTTAAGAGGGTTAACTAAGGAGTAACATGGGCTTAAGGAGGGAAAATAAAGAAGGGTATACAACTATACAAGCCCTATTGAACAGTTCATTACTAGTCCAAATTCTATTCCGAGCTAATCCTAGTTGGCCCAAAACTAGACTAGGGGACGAATGAAACATGAGGCGATTTGAAACGCGTTTGAAAACGATAATAAAGATCATATTATTGATATCACAATAATAATATCAATAATAATAATGAAAATAATAACTTCAATCACAATATATATATATATATATATATATATATATATATATATATATATATATATATATATATATATAAAGTTCATAATACTGAAAAGCGACATAAAAGACGAAATGTGAAATCAGTAATATTATTCATTTATAAGGACCTAATTAATAAAAAGACATTATAATGAGTTTTATAAATTAAAGAATTAAAGAATACTTTATAAACAATACCAATTTGATAAACGAGTCGGCGGAATCACCCAATACCACTTTATTTATCGATATTGAAACGATTGTGCGTAAAACGTTTTTGAAACTCCAAAAATCATTTTATACCTGTTAGATTGGTACTTCAGTCAAGGATTCACCCATGATGACCGTATCAATCGCAATAGATTAAATATTAAAATTACATATGATTTAGTAACACTTACTAAATTGATGCTTAAGCTTAATTAAGGAATCACCCTTTAAGGCTAATATCAATTTAGACAAGTCAAATATATAGTTGAAATGATTAAAACTTAAATATAAAACCTTTTAAATAATAATAACATCCAATCGTTTCGTTAAAACATTATAATAAGGGTTTCAAAAGCTTGAGATGACCCGTAAATCAAATAACGATCTTAATAATTAAGGGTTCGTTTGGCATTGATGTGGTTTTCTGTTTTTTGGTTTTTTGTTGTATAAAAATATATAATATATGTCACATATTGAATAAAAAAATTATTTAAACTTATTAAAATCATAATAATTTTGAAAACTGACAACAAAAAAGTGGAAACACCTTTTTCTTGTTTCCTGTTTTTGGTTTTTAGTTTTCAAAAAAACAGGAAACTAAAAACCAAAAATGATGCCAAACAAGCCCTAAATTAGCATTTCAATTTAGAAATTGAGATTTAAATAAGAAATTAGGCTTTATAGGCTGAAACACACATAAAGTAATGGTTCGAAAATACGGGGTGTTACATTGCATGGCTTTTGTAAAATTAATTTTCATACATTCAAATGGAGTGTTCTAACTCTTTCGTTTGATCAACACATAATTGAGAGGTTTAATTGACTTCATTAAAACAAGGTGTAAGTGACAGTTTTTAAACCCTAAGTGGTAATTAAAATTGCAATAACAATAATAGGGAAATTTGTCAAAAATAATACTACAAATTTTGAGTGATCTGCCAAAAATAAGTCAATCTTTTAATTTTTTTTAATAATACAAACTTTAAGGGATGTACACTTTAAACCAGATAATTAACCTACAACCTATATGACCGGTTGACATTTTTTTATATATAAAACCGTTTAACAATAAAATTTACTTCTAATCAAAACTTTAAGCATAGTTAATTTCTCTAATAACTCTTAATTAAATTAAAAAAAATCCTAACTAAATTATTAATTAATTTTTTGTTAAAAAAAATTAATTGACTCTTTTTATTAAAAAAATATATATTATTGTTATTTTTCAAAAAAAAAAACCACCCACCACCACCTTTCCCACCCCCTCCCTACCCATGGTTGTCGCCCTAGACCACCTCCCTC